CCCTCCGCGGCTTTGCTCCGCGTCTTCCTGGTCTGCAGACCAGGGAGACGCGGTGCAGCTTTTCTCGCCCCGGAGTACACGGGCGGCGGGACCGCGAAGTCCCGCAGTCTGTGTCCTCTGGGGCGAGAAAAGCTCCGTTCCTACCTGCAAGTCGGGGACTGCCTGTATACCCAGCGTATAAGACAATCTCCGATTTTTGGGGGATGTTTTTTAGCATAAAAAGTCATCTTATACGCCGGAAAATACGGTATATTGGCTAGAGACCTCTTCTGGTGTGTTAACTTGATTTTCCTTCAGTACATTCTATATGAAAGTATTCTAATATTTTTCCATGTCATTAAGGTGACCCCCCTCATTCTAAGCAGAATTATGTTTGTAAAGTACTCTTATAAAGCAATTTATGTTCTGGCTAAATACTAATTGGGTGAAATGTTATGCTCATGTTATACAGGTCAGACCAGCTGAGCTGTCTCTTCGGGTCTTAAAGACTACGATAGTTTGTTTTGATAAATGAGCAAATAGTTCCAAGTCAGGAAAAGGATAGCCACAAACAGAATAATTGAAATCAGAAAGAAAAAGTAAGCAAAAAAACCCCCCAAGAAAACACCATTGTACACACTATATTATATTGTCTGTTATTGGCTTAAAGTAGTGAAGTAGCTTTTCAATTTCCCTTTACAGTGCACTTTATGGGAGAGAAAGGCTATGTCTACACTCGCGGCTTCTTGCGCGAGAAATATGCAAATGAAACTAAGCATGGAATATCGCCGATCCTCATTTGTATACCTAATGAGCCCCCATTTTTGCATAAGAGGCTCTGGCGCCCGAAGGAGCTGGAATTCTCAGGAATAACGGCATTGTGCAAGAGGGTTTTTCTTGCGCAAGAAGGGGCAGTGTACATAGCGCCTTCAGGTACAAGAGCCTCTTATGCAAAAATGGCAGCTCATTAGGTATGCAAATGAGGCTCAGCAATATTCCACGCTTAGCCTCGTTTGCATATTTCTCATGCAAGAAGCCGTGAGTGTAGACAGCCAAAATGTCGAAGTGTAAGAAACAGTGTAAGATTTTTGCAGTCTGCTAAAATCTGCAAAATTCATATAAATGCTTGAAAGCTTTTACAAGTTGGACCTCCTTGATCCAGCACTATTGAGACCTGACTGGTCCCAAACGAGAGAATTTGCCAGACCAGGGGAGGTCTCCTGTCTCAGACTCCCAAGGCTGCTCCAGCCGGCACCCTGCCTCACCTCCCTCCCCATCCCACCCATTCCAACCTGACTGGGCAGCTTGCTCAGCTGCTGCTGCCTCCCTGGACAACAGAGGCTCTGAGTCCTGCCATTGGTCTCCAGCCCCGCGCATCTGGGTGCAGCGGTGGTGACCTGACCCCACGCTCAAGGAACTACTGTGGGGCTCCATCCCTGTGCTCCAAGAAGCTGCCAGAGGACTCTGGTCTCACAATGCTGGGGGGCTCCGATCTCAGCCCCCAGTTCCCAGGGGGTTACTATGGGGTTCTGGGGTTGCCATAGGACTCCAGGCCAGTGCCAATCTGTGCTGCTAGGGAACTCCTGCATGGCCCTGGGTTGCCCTGTTGCTCCCAGCTGGGCTGCTGACCTATTACCCCGTCCAGCTGGCCCTCCTGCCCTTAGGCTCATGGACTCTCTAATCTAAAAGCATCCCCGGTCCTGCTAGACAACAGGTGTTGCCAGACCAGAGAGTACTGGTTTTTGGAGGTAGAACCTGTACTAACAGAGTGACAATCCAGTATTTAAAAAAAAAAAAAAAAGATAGAAAATGGAAAATTCGCTAATAAATTTGAAATCATCTGTATCCAATGCATCTGGAAAAAAAATTAGAATGGAATTTCTACAGGGTTACATACCACTTCCAAAGACAGCATAAATGTTTTATAAATTCCCACACTGAACCAATTCCTACCATTATAAATTACATACATTTAATAAGTATCCATTGTATATCAGTGTCTTTTCAACTTATCCCAATTTCCAAAGTAGGACATAATATGAAATTGGTGCATGTATGCATCCATCTGGAAAATGAAAATGGGGTATAGAGCCTCCTAAGCCTCCAAAATAGATTGTAGGCATCTGATTTTGCTAACAATTTAAACATATTATCACATTTGTTGCTTTTCTCTACAAAATAACCCGATAAAGGAATTATCTGATGGGAACACAACAATGCTTTTGCAAAGTTATTGAAATGACACTTTTTTCAAATGTGTTTAACAGTGTTGGTCAGAGGCAACTTGTCTGTCTTGCCCGTGCTTTGCTACGGAAGACAAAAATTCTGATCTTAGATGAAGCGACAGCTTCTGTTGACGTGGAAACAGATAATCTAGTGCAGTCAACCATCCGGAAGGAGTTTTACAACTGCACAGTCCTAACTATAGCCCACAGATTGCATACAATAATGGATTCTGAAAGGTAAGTTTCAATATTGTTTTAAAAAAATGTTGCTTTATTTAGACATTATTAAAGTCACGAAAGCTGATCTGGCTTGATGCTTTCCCCAGTTATCCTTTCACTCCTCCCCATATAATGTTCAGTATTGATACTAAACAGATTAATATTGGTGCTACACTGTTTCTCCTGTTCTTATTACTGAAATAATTTTAATTCTTCTTCAAGTGATTGCTCATGTGCATTCCAATATAGGTGTGTGCACATAGCGGACATGCATCTTGGGAAGATTTTCCCTCAGCAGTACCCTTAGGGCCAGCAAGGATCTCCCTGCAGTGGCGCCAGTATATCAGTGCATATACCCCTGCTGGTCCCTTCCCCACTCAGTTCCTTCTTACCGCCATGACGGTCATTGGAACAACCTCAGCTGCCTTCGAGTTGTGCTTTAACTTGCTAATTCCTTGATTGTTTATCTCTGTGCTTTAGTTAAGTACCTGTGAAATTACTTTGAAGACTCTCCTTTGTGTTTGTCCTCCTCACCCCGCCGCGACGCTCTGCGCACCTGCGTCCGGGTATGCACGGCCATCAGGGCTTCAAACCCTGCAAGAAGTATGGCAAGTCTATGCCCTGCAGTGATCCGCACTCATCTTGTTTGAAGTGCTTGGGAGAATAGCACATAACATCAGTGTGCAAAATCTGCAAGACCTTTAAACCCAGGACTAAGCGAGAGCGCGAGTCTCGCCTCCGGGCACTCCTAATGGAGTCAGCTCTATGGCTGGGCCCGGCACCGAGCACAGGCAGCACACCGGCCTCGGTGCAGGATGCCTTGATGCGCCGTCCTTCCCTGGCACCTCACAGGGCTAGGCGCTGCTCTCTCTCACCGGCACTGCCTAGGAAGAGGCGGCCAGACGGGTCGGTCCCTGCTCAGGCATGTGCCCTCTGTGCACCCCTCTGTGGGGCATGTGGCATCTGACAGCCCACATCCCGGGCCTTCAAGGCCAGGCGATTATCTACCCTGGCAGAGGGATGATAGCTCCCCGGCAGACCTTCCCGACCCATCCACCCTGGAGTCGGCTAGGGTGCTCATTGAATCGTCCCTCTCGCCTCCCCCTGCCACGACACTGCCTAGATAGCATGGGGACTCCTGGCACCACTCACCGTGGGCGCCCCGAGAGCAGCAGCATGAGGCACATAGCCTCGGGCCGCAGTTGGCGCCACCCTCAGTACCGGGCTCGGAGACAGCACTGGCACCGGCAACAGATGAGCCACGGCGCCTGCCCCACCTGAGGAACCAGCATTGGTCATGCCTCCTCCTCCTCCACCCTGGCACTGTGGCAAACCTGAGGCTATGTCCTGCCTTGCTCCGCCACACTCGACGTTGACGCCTCCGTGGTCTGTGTCAGTTACTCTTCTGACTCCGACGCAGCATCTGTGTGGTCATCTAGGGGCTCCAGGTCACGCTCCCCGCACCGTTCCCGATCACGGTACCACTCCCAGCACTGGTCTCCTTCACACCAGCAGCAATGGGGGCAGCCAATCTCGGTGCCGCTGCTGCAACAAACCTGGCCTCCCCAACCATCTGGACAATGGCCTTTTTGGACTCCCTGGGCCTATCACCAGAGCCAGGGCTCTGTGCCTCCTCGACTGGCCTCCTTTGTTTCACGGCCTCAGGTTCCCCCGTCGGCTACCCACTTTGTCCTGTTTCCCACCTTGACACACTCCCTGTCCCCAGGCCAATCATCCCCAGCTCCAGCAGGGTGTATGGACCAGAAAAGCCAATCGGGTCCCCCTCCTCCTTCTGTGACCACCTCTGAGGGTCCGGAGCACAGGGACATCCCCATGCAGGACATTGCAAAGGGGTCATCATTCTCCTCTGCGGACAAAGCGCTAGCTGACACGATGCCCCCTATGCCCTCTATGGACACCAGGACCCATCAGGACCTCCACCGTTGCCTGGCCCAAAACCTAGGGGTTCAGGCAGACAAGGTGGACGAGGACTCTGACCTGACTGTCGACTTTCTACAAGCCAACACCCCTTCTAGAGTGGCACTGCCTATAAATAAGACCGTTGCCAAGATCTTGGCCACCCTCCGGCAAACGCCGGCTTCCATTCCACCCACCAATAAGTGAGCCAAGTGTAGATACTTTGTTCCCTCGGAGGGTAATGAACACCTTTTCTTGCACCCTCCTTCCCGGCTCCATGGTGGTCCAGGTGGTCAACCAGAGAGAAAGGCAGGGGCAACCAGTGGCCACCCCTAAGAGCAAGGATGCCAAAAAGGCGGATTTACTGGGCAGGAAGGTCTATGCTTCCGGGGGCATCCTGATTGCTAACCGGCAGGTCCTCCTATCCTAGTACGGCTGTAACACCTGGGTGGCAATGGCCAAGTTTGCGGACTTGCTCTCCTGGGCAGAAATTAGAGCCCTGCAGGAGGAGGGACGGATGATCTCCCGAGCGGCTCTGCAAGCAGTGCTCGACACGGCTGATGCCACCTCACGGGTCATGGCCACAGGGGTAGTGCTGCATCGCAGCTCCTGGCTGCAGGGCTCCAGGGTGCCACTCGAGGTCCAAAACACCCTCCAGGACCTCCCCTTTGAGGGTACCTCGCTCTTTTCAGAGCAAACTGACCAGCACCTTCAGCATGGCCACGACAGCATTAGTACTCGACGCTCCTCAGCCTCTCATGCGAGAGACCCTTAGCCCTCCCATTAGTTCCAGGCCTCATATGACAGGACTCGGGCAGGCTGCACCACCCTGTCCTGCAGTACCTCCACCTGACAGCATGGAAGCAAACAGCTCAGGAGCTCCAGTACTCCCAACGGGTCCAGGAGGTCCTGCTAAGCAGCAGGAAACCGTCCACCAGATCCACTTACTTGGCTAAATGAAAATGCTTCTGTTTCTGGGCATCCCAACAGGGGGTACAGCCAAGAAGGGTACCGGTTCCCAGGATTTTAGACTACTTACTAGATATTAGGCTCCAGCACCTGTGTTCCTCATCCATTAAGGTCCACGTTGGCAGCCATGTCAGCCTTTCACCCAGGGAAAGGGGGCAAATGCTGTTCGCCAACCCAACGGTTAATACATTCTTGAAAGGCCTGGGTAGACTCTACCCACATGTACAGCTCCCTGTCCCACAGTGGGATCTAAACCTGGTCCTCTCTAAGCTTATGGGACCCTCATTTGAGCCGATGGCTACGTGTTCGCTCCTCCACCTATCATATAAGGTTTCATTCCTGGTAGCAATCACATCCTTGAGGCAGGTATCCGACATTAGGGCACTCACGTGTGATCCCCGTTACATGGTATTTTTTAAAAGATAAAGTCAGATTCCGCCCCCATCTGGCCTTTCTGCCAAAGGTGGTTACCTCTTTTCACACTTCCCAAGATATTTTCCTCCCAGTTTTCTTCCCTAAACCGCATGCTTCTGGGAAAGAACAGGTCCTGCATGCGTTTGCCTTTTATTTAGACAGAACTAAACCGTATTTTCACAGCAGCTCTTTGTAGCCATTGCGGAACATACGAAGGGTCAGCCCGTATCCACTCAGAGGATTGCTTCATGGATAACTGCTTGCATTAGGGAGTACTACTCTTTAGCGGGCACACCAGCCCTGCCCCTCAGGGTGCACTCTACGAGGGAATATGGCGATGTCCACCGCTTTTTCCGCACCAGTCCCCATTTCGGACATCTGCAGGGCTGCCATCTGGTGTTTGGTCCACATGTTTGCTAACCATTATGCCCTTCCACAGCAGGCCAGGGAGGACGCTGCCCTAGGTAGGGTGGTCCTGAGCTCAGGAGCAATTTCTTCCTCCGGCCCCCCGCTGAGTTAGGTGATTCCAAAGCAGAACCTATATTGGAATGCACATGAGCAATCACTTGAAGAAGAAGAAAGAACGGTTACTTACCTCGTAACAGTGATTCTTCGAGATGTGTTGCTCATGTCCATTCCAAATCCCCCCCCACCCACCCCCCCCCCTTCTCTGCCAGTAGCATACTGGTAAGAAGGAACAGAGTGGGGAAGGGGCCAGCAGGGGTATATATGCACTGATATACTGGTGCCACTGCAGGGGGCTCCCTGCTGGCCCTAAGGGTACTGCTGAGGCAAAATCTTCCGATGACATGTGCACGCTGTGCGCACACACCTATATTGGCATGGACATGAGCAACACATCTCGAAGAATCACAGTTATGAGGTAAGTAACCGTTCTTTTCATTTTTAACTCAGCTGTACATACACGTTACTAGCAGCTCCATTTAATTTACCAGAGTAAGTTGATTGCACTGTAGGGCTTAAGGTGACAAGTCAAAATTTCATTTTCTAAAATCCATTTTTTGTGCAGTTCATAGTTTCATAACCACCTGAGTTACCTGCTGCAAAGAGATTTCTGTTATTAAAGGAATGAGTTCTAGGACTGGAAAGTATGACTGAAAAAGTAGCTCAATTTTCCTTATCACCTTTCTGTTTCTACTTTGCAGAGTGCTTGTTCTGGGCTCTGGAAGAATTATAGAATTTGATACCCCACATAATTTAGTACTTCAGCAAGGAGTTTTTTCTAAAATGATTTCTGAGGCTGGGATAATTCAAGATTCAAATAACTCATGAACTTATTTTTGTCACAAGAAGATTGCGGTTTCTTTTTTCTGAACTTGAATGCAGGAAATGCTCCATTGATGTGTGGTTAATTGTATCCTTGACATTATGAAATGATGATACAATTTAGGAGAATGGGTAGTTTTAATACTACATACGTCGTAGGAAAAAAAAGCAGATGATGGCTACTGTTGTGATCTGCAGTGCATACTCCTGAATCTTCTTTAAATTGTTTTTATATAAATTTTTCACTAGAACTAAAACATTGTATACAGTGAATTTTGCTTTAATAAATGATCTACAAACTACATCAATGCTTGTTAACCACAATAGTTAACACTTCAGAACCTTCAGACTTTGTTTTGGATGAATCTGTTTGTATGTTTTAAATTATTTAATAAATAATGGTGATTTAATCAGTATAGTTTTGTTATAAATGATGAGCTGGTGAAAATTCATTTTGAGAATTGTCATTTTGTTAACATAGTGGGCTCAATGCTGACTAATATATCCATGAATATTTTTTATACACTCGGAGTATATTTGGGTTTTTAAATGTTGTTTGAAAATCCTAAGTAAGTGACAGGTTGGACAATTATTACTTACTTTTTTCCATCTAACTGAATATTCTCAAGTCACATTGTGACAGAATTCTGAAAAAGGAAAATCCATCTGGGAAATAGTTACTTTATACAGAGAGTATATATGGTTGACATTTCCATTTAATATGAAAAGAAGGTTCTATTGTCATGGCTAGCGCAAGAATAGCTTATGAGAACATGCTGGCTTGAAAATATAAAGTACTGTAAGGTATGGTCCTAATTTGTCATCTTGCTTTGTGGTTAAACCAGGTGAAAAGGTAAAAGGAAGAGAAGAAAGTTTCCATAAGAATCCACAATGAATACTAAAAGATATACAAGAAAAAATGAAATTATGAAATGGTGGTTTACACTAATTCAGACATTCAGAGTGGATACAGTTCTGCTATGAGAAGTCACTTCATTCTTCTCATAAAAATCTATGCACACATTTTTGGGATCTAAGATGTAGAAGCAGGGTACCTATATCTTCTGAGATACCATCTCTTACATTCCTTATTCTTGTAAGAAGAAGGATAAGAGGTAGAGCTTAGAGCACACTGGTCCAACAGCGAACTAGCCTCTATCCAAAGCTGTACTCTTTTAAGGTCAGCTACCTCCCAATGAACTATTTTGTAGTTTCTCTTGATTTTCCTTTCCAGCCTGATTAGGTTTCAGACCCCAGCCTAGCTTCATTACTGTAGCATAAACATGTTTTAGTGGTCAAGAAGGCACTAAATGCTCTGCCACTTGGATTGAGGTAGGCACCTTGCCAAAGCCGCCTTATTAGGAATAACAGAGAAGAGCCATCAGTACTGTCTATTAGCGATCCACCAGTAGTACAGCAACTCTTGTCATGTTGATTGGTTTAGTTGTAGGATACTCCCTAACACCAGTAGGGTAAAACACCTCCATCCTGGTATTTATTTCAGAGAAGATCTTGACTGCGGAAGGTGAAGGAATTATACTGTAGCTGTCTCACTTTCTAGTAGAGACAAAACATGATTGGTACAAGGTTACGTTCAGCAGTGCTAAAAAGGAACTCATCTATGTCTGGAATACCCTGCAACATATCTTGTAGGAGACAAAATATTTTTGCTTTCCTTCCTCTCCCTTATTCTGAGCAAGAATACATGATTTAGCATGAGCAGCTTCACTCTACCAGCAACCACATGCTGAGCGAGGGCTTTGACAAAGAGAAAAGCTTAACCTCAAGATAAGGGACCAGAGTTAGAAGTTGTATGTTTTAGTGCTTACTCATGAAAAGTGTGGCATAGCAAGTCTGAAGAAATTAATTTTATTTCCATGCCTTCCTTTCTCATCTGTGAAATAAGAATACTCCCCCTATCTTAGATGAGTGACCACATTTTTGTCTGAGAAGTGTTCATATGATACTACTAAATACCACAGATGAGCCCATAAAAGTGTTAATGTAATGCTGCCAGACACATCAGATTCTCCTGGACATCATTTGCAATTACAAAAAGGGGCTAATGAGATTAATTTAAGAGCAATAACTGTTTTACCTAAAACTTATCGTTGATTATCTCTGCCTCCAGCCCAAGATTTGGTATTGCACTACTCTGCTTATCTTCTCCTCCCCCCCCCTCCCCGGCCAATCCTTAAATTCAGCCCTTGTAGTATGCAGCAATAGTTAGTGTTTAGAGAAAAAGGAGCACTTCGTTTTTTTATAGGAATTGGAGCTACACGTACTATTCAGCTAACAAGTGGTATACCTTGTGCAGACAATTCCCATTTGTGCCCACAGAGTACAAGTGCAAACTATTCATTCTTCACTGGCCTGTAGAAATTTGGTATCGTTGAGTCTTTCATGATACAGGCCTTTATTCTAACACTAAGTTTTATCCTTTGCATTAAAGATTGTCCACCAGACCATTTATAGTACAGGCAGTCCCCGGGTTACGTACAAGATAGGGACTGTAGGTTTGTTCTTAAGTTGAATCAGTATGTAAGTCGGAACTGGCGTCCAGATTCAGCCGCTGCTGAAACTGATCAGTTTCAACAGCGGCTGAATCTGGACTACAGATTCAACTTAAGAACCCCAGGTGTCCCCAAGTCAGCTGCTGCTGAAACTGATCAGCAGCT